CGCTGAACACACACGGCTCTTATTAAACAGCGCTTTCTCACCGGAGTACTTTTCTCCGTCATTCTTAAAGTACTAATGAAACGGAGGAATCGTACCGTTTTTAACGGCAGGGTATTGCGGTACCTTTCAAGTATTGGTACACCGTGCAACACTAGTCAGGAGTCAGTGTCTCTCCCCCAAACTCACACATATAAAATTCGATATTAACTGAAGAGCCGCATGAAACTAGGCAAAGAGCCGCATGCGGCTCGAGAGCCGCGGGTTGGCCACCCCTGCTCTAGCCGCTTAAGTCTCTACTGGATTTATTTGTATGCGTAATGGATCAGGTTTTTTTTTTAACTGTAATGGCTTGAAATCGCCTACAGTATGTTCTGGGTGACCTTTTAAATTTAACCAGATCTTTATTTAGCTACCCTTTTCCTGTTTTTTAGGAGTGCTAGAAGCAAAGGAATTTTAAAATGAAGGTAATTGTTTTGCCCCTAGAGGCTAGACTCTAGCCTAAAAAAAACTATACTATTACTACTACTACTACTACTACTATTACTACTACTATACTATACTAACGATACTCTAGCCGCTTAAGTCTCTACTGGATTTATTTGTATGCGTAATGGATCAGGGTTTTTTTTTAACTGTAATGGCTTGAAATCGCCTACAGTATGTTCTGGGTGACCTTTTAAATTTAACCAGATCTTTATTTAGCTACCCTTTTCCTGTTTTTTAGGAGTGCTAGAAGCGAAGGAATTTTAAAATGAAGGTAATTGTTTTGCCCCTAGAGGCTAGACTCTAGCCTAAAAAAAACTATACTATTACTACTACTATTACTACTACTACTATACTATACTAACGATACTCTAGCCGCTTAAGTATCTTCTGGAACCTTTGTTGATGTTTAATAAATTGATCTAATAAATGTTAACTGTTTAAATATATATCCTGACTGAATGTTATTATATGTTATTGCTCACTCATTTTGAGAAATGTTTTTATGTCTTACTAAAATCTGTTGTTGTTTATCATGTTTTCTAAAGTTTCATTGTCAAGGCTGCCTTCTTGGTAGTCGTCGGGGACATCTGGGACGATACTAGAAAGGAAATTAATGAATCTTCTCCACCATGGTGTTTTCAAGGCGGCTATCTCCTGAACACAACGTTCTTTCACTTGTTGGAGTTCACGGATTCTCTCAAGCAAAGTCATTATCTCTGAATCCTTCTCAACAAAAATGCGTTCCTTCTGTTGTTCCAGTTCGTGATTTCTCTCATGCAAAGTGACTATCTCTGAATCCTTCTCCTCAACAAAACGTTCCTTCTGTTGTTCCAGTTCGTGGTTTCTCTCATGCAAAGTGACTATCTCTGCATCCTTCTCCTCAACAAAACGTTCCTTCTGTTGTTCCAGTTCGTGGTTTCTCTCATGCAAAGTGACTATCTCTGAATCCTTCTCCTCAACAAAGCGTTCCTTCTGTTGTTCCAGTTCGTGATTTCTCTCATGCAAAGTGACTATCTCTGCATCCTTCTCCTCAACAAAACGTTCCTTCTGTTGTTCCAGTTCGTGATTTCTCTCATGCAAAGTGACTATCTCTGCATCCTTCTCCTCAACAAAGTGTTCCTTCTGTTCTTCCAGTTCGTGGTTTCTCTCATGCAAAACTATTATCTCTGCATTTTTCACCTCAACACAACGCAACTTCTCTTGTTTGAGTTCCTGGTTTGTCTTTTGCAAGGCAGCCATCTCTGCATCCTTCTCCTCAACACAGGGTTCTTCCAGTTGTTTGAGATCCTCTGCTTTGTCATTATGATGCATCTTGAGGAGCTTTTCATATTTCATGTTCAGTTCCTCATAGTTTTCGCGCAAAACTTTCTGCTCAATTTTCAGGGCATTCATTTTAACATTGTGCCTCACTTCTGGTTCCACCTTCACCTCATTTTCCTTCTTGTCCACCTTCGCCTCCTTCTCCACACAATGCTCCTTCTCTTGTTTCAGTGTTTGGTTTTCCTTCAGCAAAGCAGCTATCTCTGCATCCTTCTCCTCAACATAACGTTCCTTTTGTAAATGGAGTTCCTGGTTTCTCTCACACAAAGCAGCTATCTCTACAGATTTCTCCTCAACATAACGTTCCTTTTGTAAATGGAGTTCCTGGTTTCTCTCACACAAAGCAGCTATCTCTACAGATTTCTCCTCAACATAACGTTCCTTTTGTAAATGGAGTTCCTGGTTTCTCTCACACAAAGCAGCTATCTCTACAGATTTCTCCTCAACATAACGTTCCTTTTGTAAATGGAGTTCCTGGTTTCTCTCACACAAAGCAGCTATCTCTACAGATTTCTCCTCAAGACAACGCTCCTTCTGTTGTTGGAGTTCCTGGTTTCTCTCACGCAAAGAAGCTATCTCTACAGCGTTCTCTTCAACACAGGGTTCTTTCAGTTGTTTGAGTCCCGCGTTTGCCTTTCTCAAGGCAGCCATCTCTGCTTCGACCTTCTTGTGTGACCTCTGGAGCATTCCGTATTTCATGTTCAGGTCCTCATTGTTGACGCGCAAGATGTTGTGCTCAATTTTCTGGGCTTTCACGTTCACATTTTGCCCAGATAGCTCAGCTGCATTCTCTGTATATGCTTTCAGCATCGCTTCTTTCTTCTTAGCGCCTTCAATCTCAAGCTTATTCCTTAAAGTCCTTTCCTGCTCCAGCAACAACTTGATTTCCTGATTTTCTTTTTGCAGAATCTCGAGCTTGACTTCCATCTCATCTCTATTGTTCATCTCCATCTCTACTGCGGTGATGAAATGACCTGTTGTTAAGCAAACTGAATATAATTGTTCAACTGAATTAAAGCCACAAAAATGGAGTTCACTTAGATTATCTCGTTAAAATAGACGTGCAAGTCTACCTAATGTTAGCTTGCTACAAAACCTATTTCTGCAATGATCTGACACTAGCTGGAACAGTTCCTTCTGCCTTCTGACTGATGCTCTGATGCTCTGATGAATTCACCGTCACAGCTGAGACCTGCAAACTTCTAAAGCATCAAGGCAAAGATGATGTCATCAATCTGAAGGTTCCATTTGCTGATGTCAGCGAATGCATCAGCTGACAGGAAGTAAGAATGGACCCATGCTGTTGCCTAGCAACGCAATTCTGTTTAATACATAATATTAAGAAATGTAAACGATCAAAATGCTTTATTAAGTATAATGTATGTTTGTGAAAGAGACAACCAAAGGAAACTGGTGTCATGATTCTGTTCACGTCTCCTCTCTCTGTCCTTCACTTACGTGCTTTCGTTTTTTAACCTCCTCCCATTTACTTCACGGTGGGAGACAGGAGATAATAAGGGGAGAAAGGAAGCGAGCTCATTGAAAACCAACAAGATGCAGCCGTACAGTCAGCCTGGACAGTTTAGTGATTCACTGCCATCCCCTAAAAGCTGTTAAACTTGTCACTTTGTGTTTCACAAATGTAGGGCTTTGTCGCTAATGAGTTGTGGAATGATTAATCCCAGCATTAGAACTTTTACACAAAGTGAGCAATTGATTTGTTATGAATCTAATTAAAAACAGCTTCATCGTACAATTATATAACGAACAATCTGGTAATGTTAAAACCCTACTTCCCCAGAAAAGGAAGCAGACCTCCGCGGCTCTTCCTCCTAAACCTGCTGACCTGCCACCTGTCTCTAATGTGTCCTCCAGCCCCCGGACCTCCAATGCTCCCCTGCACCTCGAAGACCCTATTAGGATCCACAACCGCTCAGTCGAGGAGTACCAGCTCATCTACCATGAAGTTGTGGATAACATGCTGAGGTACGTTGCGTCACAAATGAGTCAGTTCATTTACAGAGTTTCCACTCTCTTAGAAATCTATCTCTCTATTTTCCTTCATCATAAAGATGTATTTTTGTGTTTCTCCTCTCAGGTTCCCGGACGGTCGCCTGCGTCCATATAGTTTGGGTCTGGGTCGTCGTATCAAGCAGAAGCTGTGGGAGCGACTGGACCGTCCGATGTTCACAGAGACAGTGGATGAAGACGGTCTGGTCCATGTGGACGTGTCCTACGGTGCTGGAGTCCAGCCTCCGCTCTACAACGTGGATGTTTCTGGTGAACCAGAGCCCGAATATCCACCAGCAAAAAGGGCAAAGCACTAAGACACACTCTCATAAGCTGACATGTCTAATAATACTGTGCTTTAAGTTTAGTTTAGTTTTTTTTTTAAAAGTATGGCAGATAAGTTTAAGTTTATTAAGTGTAGAGATATGTTTTTAGTGCCAAGCACAAGTATTAAGTGTCAAGTCTTTAATTTTAAGTATTTAGTAATAAGTATAAAGTGTTAAGAGTAAGTGTTTAGTTTAAGTTTTCTGTTTAAGTACTAAGTTGAAGTATTAAGTATTTAGTGTTAAGAGTAAGTATTTAGTAGTAAGTATAAGTATTTAGTGTTTAGTTTAAGTATTTAGTAATAAGTTTAAGTATTTAGTATTTAGTGTTAAGAGTTAGTATTTAGTTGAGTTAAGTTTACTTTCATTGATCTTAATGTATCTCACCACTGATGAATTGTCTTCCTCTGAATCAGTTCCTGCTCCTCTGTTAACAGTCTTCTTACTCCAGCTTCAGCCTCAACAGCAACAGTTATCACCTGCCAGAACACCTGCTCCACCCTCCAGCCTCCACCTGTTACTTCTACCAGACAAAACATCAGCCTTGAGCTGCAGCCTGTGAGATGACAGACTCCTCTCCACCTGCAGCCGCTGTCTCTCTGTTGCCTACATCCTCTACCAGCAGCTTCAGCATCAAACTGCTGCCTCACTCTTCACCTGCAGCCTCTGTCAGCAACCTGCAGCTTCTGACAGATCACTGCGGTCAAACCTCCACCTTCAGCCACCTGAAGAAGACCACTCCCCCTGAAGATCCCCACAGAAAGCTGTGGCCAAACCTCCACCTACAGCCTCTATAAGGAAACCTGCACAGGGTGTACTTTGAGGGTTTCTGACTGCAGACCATTTACATGCAGAAAAAGCTACATAACAACAAGGGGACGGGTAATAACCGGGAAAGCATGACATGGGACCTTTAAGTGGAGGAAGCTCCTTAGAGACAATGATCTGGCCATCAACTGTAGTTCAAATTATATTTGCTCTGAAACTCCAGATGACATAAAAACCTGGCAACTGCAAACAGGGTTGTCATACTCGGTGGAAAGGCAGTCTTAACTATAAACTCAGATCTATAAGACCCCAGTTCAACATGAACGAAAACACCCCAACTTTGAACAATGTCCGTTTAACTATTTTTTCCTTGGTACACCGCCATTCCTCTCCGGTGCGTAACGTAGCCACTTCTGCACTCCAACCCTGAATGTCAATTCCGTCAGCCTGCGGTCAAATTGACGAGCAGCAGCTGAAAAAAAAGAAGTTACATTTTTTGTTTATTGAAATAATAAGAAGAAGAAAGCTGCAATGGATGCGTTCCAGTGTGTACTGTTTAGTGTACTAGGTTTTCAGGCGGCCTTAATTGAGCAATTCACCCGTCAACCACATCTTCATATAATTGATTCACACTATTACTCATTTCTGTCTACTCGCTCTGTGTCTCAGAGGACGGTAGTGGACAGTTCAGAAACGTGCCCATCAGTGACATCATCAATGGTAGGCAGGTTTCTGAAATGTCCACAGCCCACCTTTGAGATGCAGAGCGAGTAGACAGAAATGCTGCCATCCTATTATGAGCATTAATGAGGACCACTTATATGAAGATAAGGATAAGAATGGATGCATTTTGCATCCATTCTTATCAACTTGAGAAAGAAATGTAAAAGACTTATGAATTAAAATCAATATTTGCCAAATCTGTTGTAAAGTAGTAAACCTAGTATTTTGAGGTGCAGGCTCACCAAACATGCAGTCCTTTATCAGCGTGTCCTTGAAGGCCCTCTTCTCTCCCTTTCCCACCCAGTTGAAGATGCAGGCTAGACTGTTTGTCATGGCAGCGGATAGCATTCGCCGGATCATATTTTCCGAGTTGGTCCCTCCGACTAATGCCAGGCGGGTAATCTTAACAGACGAGAGAAAATGATTAGTGTGCTACAGTGTACTATGTAAATAGACATCTTCTCATTTATAAATAAATACGAATGTAATGAATTTGAACACATTTGTATTACCTCTAAGGAAGAAATAAGACCACTACTGTGTCCAAACTAATCGACAAACAATGCCAACAACCAAATTGGCAATCCTAAGAAATTGTCAAATATTGATTAAGAAAAATATTATCGTGATTCGCGAGGCGTATTTTTTAGGGATGCACCGAATATTCGGCCACCGAAAATTATCGGCCGAAAATGGTTAAAAAGGAGCACCGAAAAAATATCACCGTGTTGTTGTGATGACGTAATAAAGACGCGGCGACCATGCTCGCGGCTGGCTCACAGGGGGGGGACATTGACCTTTGTCATCGAGATTGCCCTGAGCCTTTAACAAATCGTATTAAATAATCTGATGACAGACTGTAAACAGAATAGCTGACATTTTAACAAACTAAATAACTCAGTTTCCTCTAATCATTAACCCATGTTTGTATCATGTAGTTAACTCCGTGTGTTGCTGCTAGCATACATAACACCTGACGTGGAAACGTTACTCGTGGATGGTGCTACAGAGCTGCTAGAAAGACGGTCGAATCCGGTGCATTCCTCCGTCTGCATGCGGTCCACTTTTGCTAAATGTTTAGACAAATTGCTCGTGCTTACATGCTAAACTCTTATTGCACTTATGGTAACAAGTATTCTCCACATCGAGACGGGTAAAGTTTAACCACACCTCGGAGCGCGTTCTCTCCGCCATCTCCGCAGTGTGCTCCGCTGCATGTAGCAGCTGCGTGTGTGTAAACTGCCCCGCCCCCTCGCACACAGACGGGGGAGAGAGATCTCGTCTGATCGAAAATACATCATAGACGCATTTGTTGTCTTTGCATATTAGAAACGAGTTGGCGACACTAAGACTGCGATATCATGTTTTTTAGCAATAATACATGACATATATAAATGTACTGTATGCATTCAAAAGTGCTGAATAAATGTTTTATGGACCCATAATAGTGATTATTATTTAAGTGAAGTTTTGCCATAATCATGTCTATTTCCATAATCAGGTAGCTGAACAACATTGGTAAAAAATGTATACATTATATATATATATATTTCTATTAATCATGTTCGGCCTTTCGGCATTCGGTTTTCGGCCAACTGTTTCCTATTTTCGGTATCGGTTTCGGCCAAGAAGTTCCCATTCGGTGCACCCCTAGTATTTTTACAATATTTCTGTCAAACACACATCCAAGTGAAAAAGAAATGTAATGCATCCACTCCTACAATTCCAGACATAAGCCCTTAAGATTTCAAACAAGAAATGTAAGACTTTTAAAACTTATAAGGATCCACAGGATACCTGCAAATGCATACAGAAAATATTAGAAGCCTCGACAGATTATAGAGAAAATGCTTTGTGTAAAAATTGTTCACCATCTTTCGACGGACTGCTTCCTCCCTCAAAGCAGCTTCAGTCTCATCAAACTTCTCCTCGTTGGTGAGTGGAAGCATTATGGGGAAGTTGTCTTCTTGTGACTCTGGTCCAGCTCCATGAATGTTTAGTTTAGCAAGTTCCGTCTTTATAAAGTTAATGTCACGTGAGATCTGCTTCACCTCCATACATAGCTCGGTAAGCATCTTCGTGGTTGTCATGGCAGCAATGTCTTGAAAAATAAAAAAATAAAGGTTTTAATTTACATTTCAAGGATAGATTTTTAATTTCCAATAATTTAGAATGACACTAAGTAACTCACTGATAAGTGTTTGCCAACAGTAACCATTAAAGCTGCACTATGTAACTTTCCTATTTACCCTGGATTTGAACACAGGTCTCCACAACTGCTGAAATATTTACCACTGAGTTTATAGAGCCTGCCTGCTTGCTCGGGGGAGACATTGACCATAAAGTCATAATTTTTGTCAAACCAAGGTCATGTCTCACCTAGATAAAGGATCTAAATGTCTCAATAGAAGAGCAGGGAGACCAAAATCAACCACCCCAATTTTAAGTGATATTGTATTAACACTACCATACAGATTGGACAAAATAACATTGTAATCACAAAAAGGTTACATAGTGCAGGTTTAAGTGCTTACATTTTAAGCCTTAACACCATGACAAAAAACATGAAAAGATGGGAAAGTCACAAGGGATAGGTTTCTCAATTCAGAAGGCATCAGTACGGTTAAGAACCTGCTCAGAAAATGATACTTGCCTTTCAACACTCTGCTTGATTCCTCTCCATATAATCTCCCCCGTGGTGTTTCTGGAGCTGAAGGGGGGTGGGATGGGTGCTGCGGGGTCAGGTGAGCCAAGCCCAGTGCGCTGAAGTCAGCTAATCTTGAGCCATGTGCATAGCTGGCACCGCCGTCTAAAAGACAAGACACCATTATTAATTGTTTATAAGTAAGCCATGAGAACCATTGGCCCATAGGAGCCGATATCCTGTTTCCGCAGCATGATGTACAAGTACACCCCCTGGACATGATGTACAAGTACACCCCCTGGACATGATGTACAAGTACACCCCCTGGACATGATGTACAAGTACACCCCCTGGACATGATGTACAAGTACACCCCCTGGACATGATGTACAAGTACACCCCCTGGACATGATGTACAAGTACACCCCCTGGACATGATGTACAAGTACACCCCCTGGACATGATGTACAAGTACACCCCCTGGACATGATGCTAGTATGTCGCAGGGACTTAACCCAATCCAACCCTTGATACTGAGTGCCAAGCAGGGAGATATCGGGTACCATTTTTAACAGTCATTGGTATGACTCGGTCGGCGATCAAACTCACAACCTCCCAATCTCAGGGCGGACACTAACCACGAGGCCACTGAGCTGCTATTCATTCTTTATATTAACATTTATAAAAACAACATTTAAGATGAGAAATACATACCATTCCTTGCTTTCTCTAATGGCATAGCGTGGTAGGGGCTGGAGTTATATGTTGGCAATCCTAGAAAAAGAGAGAAATAACTAAATAAGGCAAATGAGCACTATCAAAGTTGTTATCCATGAGCACCATATAGCAATTGCACCTAGCTAGCCCCATATAGTTACTTTCCAACTTTAGATAAAGGAGACCTGAGGGATGAACACACTTGACTACAGAGTGAGTAATTAAAGAATAGTTTCCCACCTAAGGTGCTGATAATTCCTGTGATCCAAAGATAAAAGACACATAATAGCCTATTAGTCTACTTAATAACGAGGGGTGCACTCAAGTGGCTGCCGATGACCATTTATTCAGGATACAGAAAATATGACCAACGTTTCGGAGAGACTGAAACATTGGGTCATATTTCCGGTGTCCTGAATAAATTGTCATCGGCAGCCACATGAATGTGCCTGACTTTTACACCATTAGTTTACTTACCATCATTACAGTGACTGGTCCAACTCCGCCAAATAGCTTCCACAAAAGCCTACAATGAGAGAACACAAAACATGAACTATGAATGCTGTAACTCGGACAAAGCACATTTACATACTGTCCGCCCGGAGGTAGTAGTGTGAAGTAGGGGTCGACCGATTATCCAGACCGATATTCCGCATTTTACAGATTATCGCTATCGGCCTTTTTTTTTTTTTTTAAATCAAATTGCCGATAAAACTTTGGATCTGATGCGGCCGTTTCTCTGGTTGCAGTCACCACTCTGTACACAAGCAATGTCCCGATCCAATTCTATCAGTTACACAGGGTAGCGTCTCGCAGCGGATAAACTGTGAGGGGGGGGATTGCTAGTGGAGCCTCGCAGCAACTCTGCTTTCTGCACCACAATCTGGTGCTGCTGAATTGGGACTACTAAATGAGTGAGACTCAAATATCAGAAGTTCAGAACAAGTTTTAGTAGTTTTCATTTTATTTCTATTTCATTGACTTTACTCAGGGTCACAGAGAGGAAACCAGTTTTAAGATGTTGAAAAGTTCAGCAAACATAAAAAGGCATTTCAAAGAAGTTGTGTTGGAGTTTGTGTTCTTCTACATTTTGAGACCAAGATTTTCTGATATTACTGCAAATGTATATCGGTTCCAAATATCGGTTATCGGTCTCGTTGATTACTAATAATCGGTATCGGCCTTGAAAAAGCCATATCGGTCGATCCCTAGTGTGAAGTGGTTCACTTACCATTGTCAGCCTGGTGAATTGACAGAACATCCTCCGAGTGGCTTCCTCCAGAGGCTAAAAGGGAACAAAAGACAGGAATAATGGATGCTGTAACTTTTGAACACATATCACATGACTGATGTTTGAATGTATTGTTGGAGGAACTAAATGCTTGTAAATTAAAGCTCACATGCAATTACATATTGTTCCTGCCATTTTAATAAGTAATGACATACCACTGCTTGCATTTGGGGTTGGTCCTGAGGGGTACTGGCTGGATTCTGGGAGCACTGTAGGACAATGAACATCAGGTGGCTTGGCAAATGTTCTCTTCACACAGCTGGTTTCTGACTCCCCATCTGACTCCATGTACACAGGATTTGGCCTGGAAAATAAAAATGAAACATTCAACATTCCCATTAATTGAACTAATTTGCCCCATGGCCCATTTCTGTAGAATGAGGCCGCTTGACGTACAGGTACACATAGAGATGACACTAGTCTATCACAGGACTGGAGGTGGGGTTTTTACTTATTCTTTACACAGAAACCAAGGATTATATATTTCAAGAGGGAGCGATCAAAGTAAACATCCTAAGCCTGCTTCCTCCACACTGGGAGTGCTGTGACCACTTCTCCATTGCATCTTATGAGCGGTTGGGTTCTTTTGGTTCCAGCCTATGCACGCATACTGGTTCTTATCAATGCGACGTTGTTTGATAAGGGTTAAAGTCAGGCCAGACATGGAACCTGACCTCCTACAGGAATTCAACTGTACCTTACTCTTCTTTTCCCACGTTCACCTGCTTCGTCCTCAGAGCTCAGATCAGTGGTTGGACATCCAGTATTCACATACTTTTCTTCGTATCGTTTGGCCTTTTCTGTAAAAGAAAAAGCATAAAATAATAGGATGACATTTTACTGACTAGTCTCACTTGTGACACATATGTCATATGTGGTATGGCACCACACACATTCAAACTGCCATCCATAAAACGTGTGGATACCTATATACTTGAAAATAGACAATAGTAATGCAGTGACTACTTACCACAAGTAATCAAGAGCCGGACATTCGCATATGTGGTCCATCCTATATGGGCCGTCATGTGTTCTTTAAGGGCCTTCAAATACATGTTTTTTGGGGGCCATAACAATTTACCTTCCTTTAGACTGAACCAGCTGGCAAGAACTGTTGCAGCTCCGCCATTTGGAAAAAGTACAACGGCCCAAAGCACCACCTCCCTTTCCATTCTGTATACAATAAAGGAAATAATGTAAATGATTAAAAAAAAAACCTGCTCATAAATTATAAGATGTCATTTACTCGCCCAGCAGTATGAGCGGTATGCTACTGCATATGAGCTATTGGAATAGCTATGAGGCCATTTCCTTCTGACTCTGGATACAGAACACATTTACGTTTGATACATCCAAGTTTACCAACCCCGATATTGTCACACAACTCTCTAACCTTGTATGTACCTATGCATGAGGACTCGCAGGGATAAGTGTAATATGATTCTTGGTGTCTGAACCTTTTAAAGATCACATATACCTCATCTTCTTCCTGGACTATATTCTGCACTACTGCAATACTATGTCCCACCTCAATACAATTATCCCCCTGCTTTGTAGACAAGGTAAAACGACTACTGGAGACCTTTGTGTACTGTACAGCAACACCGAAATGTTGAGGGAGTGGACCATCAGTGTGGATTTTCTGTAAGACTGGTTCATCTGTTGGTAATGGAACCTCACAACATGGCTGTTCTGACAACCTTTTGACCACCTGTTGTAGAGGTTGGTGTGGCTTGCGTAAAAGATGCTTTATTTGGCCAAGATAATTCTCAAAAGGGAATCCTGAAACATTATCTAAAGGTCCAAATTGTTTGTATTCATCGGCTAAATGTATAAGCTGGTGTACACTGAACACAATCTGATCCCTGCCATACAACTGTCCAAAGTGTTCCACAAAGGAAATCATCAATCTATGCGCTAATTCAACCTTTTGGCCAGAAATTCCAGGAGACAAAAACAAATACATGGCCACTGAAAACAACATAAAGTTGTCATAAATCTCACTGGGAAGGCAATCCTTCAGAACTACAGGGCCCCAGTACAGTATGAAGGATCGGAGCTCTGTAGCTTTCCAACGATCCAGCTCATTCAAACCCCTTGGCTTGCGATTGAATTCACAAGGGGTGTGGGAATGTAACCCCAGCAGTTTGCTTGATATACTGTTAACAGTTTGTGAAGGAAGCCTAGTGGCTAGATTGCCCTTTAACCACATATTCAACAGTTTTCTCATCACACCAAGACAACAGAGGTGCATATAATCTATTGGGAATGAAGAAACCATCTTTACTGTCCCTGTTAAAGGACTGAGTGTCTGTTTCAAGTGATGTTCTTCATCAATCATATCACAATAACTTGAGTCTGTCCTGAGCCTGACATTTGTTTCAGGATAAGTCATTTTCTTCCTCCACACACCATGTTGATCACACTTGTCACACCCTGAATAGCCATTATGTGACTTGATATTCTTAACGTAGGCTCTGGCTGGAGCATCACACACAAATGAGGAAACCAGTACTTTCAATCGGTTACCATTATGAACAACGCCATTAGCCAGTACATTTTTAAGGTCGCTAATAAATTGCTGCAGATACTCAACAACACACTTGGGCTTGCTTAAACCACAAAAGATACCGACAATAAATGGGGACTTAGTATAATCACATTTCAGAATTGCAAGTATAGGCCAGAATTGAAGTCTTGAACTCTTAAAGAGAGGGAGACCATCTATGTTGAACTGTAAAGTAAGAGTTCTGAGGCTCACTGGTAAACTCAAACATTTCAATCGTGAAAGTATCCCTTGCACCAATCCAAAATGGTAGTACTCGCCACCTTGCATTTGAGTGGTTGCAACATCATGTTGTGTTCTAAGCAGAGTTCTTCCATCCTTAGGGAGCATAGGGTGAAAAAGCTTTAAGATGGACAGCAGAGCAGACAAAGCAACCAGACTGATTGAGTAGGATGTTGCCCAATATCTTAGGCTCCTCATAAGCAGATCCTGACTAGGCTGATGCTCGTCATGGCTGTCGGAGTCAGAATCTGATTCAACATTCCCAGCCACACTACCATCAGTATGATCATTTCCCATTTGTACATGATCTGATTCAACTTCATCATCTCCAGCTAAACTACCATCAGTATGATCATTTTCAATGATTCATGTGTACATGGGAAGCTAGTGGTGTATCTAGTTGGGAAACGTGTGAGATTCTGAAGGGTGGTTCCCTATTCACACAGGGGTCTAAATGTGACTTGTTATTATAAAGAGTTTCCTCGTATTCCTTAAGGATATCTTTCTCCATGTCCCTTACAGTTCTGATGACTCTACGTCTTTTAGACCAATAAGAAGCCATCTTAGGTAAAGAGAGGTGGCGCTGCTATAATTACTTTACTTGGCCTTGTGTATTGCAGTGATCCCCTTGACTCGTCTTGTAGTATAATCCTGAAAATGGAGGAAAACAAAGCAGATTAAAAAACAGTATGCATAAACTAACAGTACAAATGAAGAGTTTGGTTCCAAAACGCGATAAACGCCACTTTTGAAAAAAATGAGTTCCCGCCGAAATCTGTATTGTATTTCGTCGGTATTGAAAAGTCAACATTCAATTTTCCCCAAAACGCGATATCCGCCGTGTTATTCTGTCCTGTTTTCTCACTTTCTTTCCAAACAGCGACAAACGCCAGTCTCCCTTCTCTACAGAATGCGATACATCCGCTCAACCAATCACAGCGCACCATTCCACGCACCTCAACCAATCACAGAGCATTCCACGCAGTGTAAACAATAATGGCAGCACCCTGAATGTACCGGCTTTCGTCATTATCTACTTCAACAAACAATAAAAACATGAATAATTTTGACGGCACCACCTGTGGTGGTTTCTGCGGTGGGGAAGAAACGCAAGCCATCGAAATGTAATCATGTACGTGAGGAGATTAAGAAAATGAGACACTCGGGAGGAGGAAAAATGCCGGCTGTCGCTTGTTATCATTCTCATACAAAAGCAAACTTCTGTCACGCAGACACATTGACCCCAGGGGATCTATTAAAAAACGTTCAGTGTTTTTACTCTGGATCTACTAAAATCGAGCAGGATCAAGTCCTTTTGCAGCTGATCACTGTCAAAAAAGTTCAGCGGAGACGTCCAAAGGTTGTCAACAGCGATATGCAGAAGGATAGGGAGGTCACTAATGAATATCATTTGCTGACCGAAGATCATCCCACAAAGATTCCTGTCTGCAAGGCCACCTTTTGCAGCGTTTTGGGTGAGTTTAATTTTGATTTACGAATTATATTATTCATACAGGACTGCCTGCTCTTAAAACGTGTGGATCATTAAACGACGCTATGTTGATGTGATAGGCTGGACACAGGCTAGATAATGACAGCTTAATTCACAACAAGCACATCACTGGCTTTTCAATGCAGCCTGATGTGTAGCCTAGGTTATATCATGAAGTGAACAAGGCACAATTAAGCTTTTCTGTTGAATCTTTAATGTTTAAGTTTCTTGCTATTTTTTAGTTTGTTTTCATGTTAAAATGTAGCCTACTTAAGGAATTAGTATCACTTAGCCTAAAGCTGTCTGATGTATTGCTTGGGCACAAATGTCCTAGCCTAGTTCGCTGGTCATCTGCCATTGTTATTTGATAAATATGCCTATTGCAAGATGAATTAATGTAGAAAAGTAGGCAGTAGCCTAAGTAGGTACTTACACATACAATACATAGGCTACATAAATAGGATGATGCACTCTCAGTCATAGATGAATGAGGTTGACTGTGACAGTCATGAAGAGTAGCTGCCCATTGTGCCAGCCTTTTGAGAGTGACCATTCCACTCTTAATGAATGATAAGTTATTGAATGTTTTACACAGAAATATAGTTATATTACAGGGTTTCCCACACATAGACTATACTTGGGCGGGCCGCCCAGGTATATTAACGGCCGCCCAAGTATATTTCGCGACCCATTTAGTTTTAGTTTTTTTTTTTTATAATTTTTTTTTTTAATGTTTTTTTTTTTTTATTCGTCCGTGACCACGACGCCATCTGCGATCGATTAACTTGTAGACAATGATCCCTCGCTCCCTTGCTCTGATCTCGCCTCCTTCTGGCCTGTTAAGTGGCCTGCCTCACACAGGGTGACTGGCTGTCCACATGATGCCGACATGGCCACTGTCATACAGATCATAAATCAAAGCCCTCGATTGGTCTCTGTGTGTCATTCAAGCTCGGGATAACCTCAGCTCAGGTGAGGTAAAGGACTCTCTGAGTGTTTAGATAGTTAACTTAGTCTAAGTTCTAAGTGGGTCTCAAACGGTGTGGTCACCATTTATGTAAACACATATTTCCATTTGAGAGGGTAGTGATTGGTCTAATGGATAGTGAGGTGGGCTGAAGATCGGAAGGCTGTGAGTTCAATTCCCGCCAGGAACACCACCACTAGTGTGCCCTTGAGTAAGGCACTTAGCCCTTAGTTACTCCAGGGAGAATGTCCCTGTAATCGGTCATTAGAAGTTGCTTTGGATAAAAGCGTCAGCTAAATGAAATGTAATGTGATTAGTAAAATATGCATGAATGAATAAATAAAAAGTTAACTATAGGTGAAAAAAGGTAAGATACACTTTTAAAACTTGTTGAGAGAAAACTAGTCTTTGCTGCTGCCTCAAAGAGGAGCAGGGGGAGAGGAGGGAGAGGAGGGAGAGGAAGGAGAGGAGGGAGAGGAGGGAGAGGAGGGAGAGGAGGGAGAGGAGGGAGAGGAGGGAGAGGAGGGAGAGGAGGGAGAGGAGGGAGAGGAGGGAGAGGAGGGAGAGGAGGGAGAGGAGGGAGAGGAGGGAGAGGAGGGAGAGGAGGGAGACAGGAGAGGCTGATTCAGGAGCTCAGACACACTCACAACTATAAATGAACCAAAAATAAATTAACAAGTTTCAGTGTTTTTTTCATATTGGAAATGGGATGTTGTTGGTTATGGCCATGATTTTATGATTATTGAAATGTATACAGTTCTGTTTAATATAGGTGTTTCCATAGATCTAGTCTCTTTATTTCCCCTCAAAATGCACCAGATTGATGCATTTAACTCCAAAATAAAAAATAAAATCTTACCGGGGGGCATGCCCCTGGACCCCCCTAGAGGATTTGAGGTCGACCCCCACTAAAAATCACATGGATAGGTTCCTAAATACATTAATAAATACATTTATTTTTTTAAATAGTAACCCATTTCCATATGTTCATGTGTGGGTGGTAGATTTAAACGATAGGGCTATCATTATGGGCCCTGCCTGTACCTGTACCTGTTCGCTCTGCCATCGCGTGAAGGGTCTGCTAACAAGCGACCAACAGAAAGGTTAATGTTGTTGCACGTCACCTCAACCCCCCCCCGCTACCACCACCCCCCAAAGTATATTTCAGATCTGTGGGAAACACTGGCAGTTAATGGACCAGCACCAGAGGCGTTCCCATACACACAGGCGTTGGAGCTGTTCTTCATGAAATCCCAGAAGGATGAAGTGCTCTGACAAACAGTGCCATCTTTGAGCAAAATGATTATACCGGAATGAAAAGTCAATAAATAATGTTGTTAAAACTTTTTTTATTTTTTCGCGCACCCCCCCCCCCCCCCCCTCCTTGCCACCAGCCGCCCAAGTATATTTCATATCTGTGGGAAACACTGTATTAATTAAATGCATTTATAGTATGCACAAGACTTGTGCAAATCAGTTTTCAATCTTCTTTACAGTTCTTTACACAGATATATGAATGCAATGGATTTATAGTATGCACAAGACAATCGTACAACGTACAGCACTGCTATGAATGTAACATGGCAAAGATGAATGTGATTTTGGAATTGATGTGGTCTAATGTGATATTGTTGTTCTTGTTCATGATAAATGTTCCTCACATGTAATGTTTTATTGTTGTAATGAATGTGTATCATTAACAAGATGACCCGTTAAATACATTTTGGGAGCGATGATTGATGTATTTTTGGCCCAGTACCCATATATAAGTTTAGTATTGACCAAGTTCAGAGGTTTTCATACTGTATGTATCAACTGACTTACTGTTATGTATTTTTGCACAGTTTCAATATGAAAAATAAAATGGATTTATTGCATTTTGGGGAAAAAATTATCAGTTTTTAAAATAAATCTTTGAAAATCAAATTCTGGATTTTAATTTGTAATGTTATTATAACCTCAAGATGCTATGTGAAAGTTTGAAACAGAAAATAGTGGTTTTCACTTGCCACTTTTCTTGGTAAAGAAAATACATTTTTACTCAAATTAATCAACATGGATTTATAGCGTTTTGGAACCAAACTCTTCAAATATATATCAGCCTCCTGGTGCAATGCAAATATAACTGTACTGAAGAAATTCCCTAGAATTACACGTTTTATTCCATGGGTCTTCAACCAGGAGTCCAGGACCCCTAGGACATACATTTTACCCAAATATCCTATATGATGCTTTAGCTTGACTGTATCAGACCAACTTTGATGTAATTTCTGTAGGATGTAGGGATGCCAGAAACTGACCATGATCAAAATCGGCGGGGTCGGTGTGTAGCAAGCTGCAGCAGCAGTCTGCGCAGGGCAGCCTGCGCTGCTGGCTTCCTCCAAGTTTTACAGTCAAAACTGGTGTTGTGACCAATGGCCATTTACAATTATTAATACTATTACTATTATTAGTCTATATTTTGGTTGAAACTAAGCCAGAAAAAAAGAAAAAAAAACATAAATAATAAAAAAATATATAAATAAAATCGAATTTTAAAAATAATCTTCGATTATGGAGACTGTAACGAATAATAGATTAATCGTTGGCATCCCTAGTAGGATGGTAGTTTAATGTCAGATTGTGTTAGCTAGTGTATCTGCTGCGTTAGCTAGGTGCTAGCCAGGGCAAGAAAATATCAACTGCGTCATGCGATGAACTGTTTAATTAATTTATGATATAGGCTATATTATAACAAAAAATATGCACAATTTCACCCAAATATCCTAAATAATGCTTTAGCTTGACTGCATCAGTGGACACTTTATGTAATTTCTGTAGGATGGTAGAGTTTAATGTCAGATTATGTTAGCTAGCGCTGCGTTAGCTAGGTGCTAGTCAGGGCAATAAAATATCAACTGCGTCATGGGATGAACGACATTAAATTCGTTGATGATATATATTATTATAAGTAATTAGTTCCCTCTTTTGCGCTCTGAATAGCCTAAAAAAACATAACGGGGTGTAACTGAGGTGAACATATAGAGTAGGCATGCACAACGGTCACGTTACATTTCTTACCGATTTGTGATATCTGTCTCTTCTCTTCAGGCGGCTTGGCGGCAACTGAACTGCCTGCCTTCCTCCACACCCTGAGGTGTACGCTCTTTCACGTGACCAACGTGCTTTCAAGATTAAGTGCAATGTGCAACAGGCATGACGGGTAATCTGTGACGTTTCGCTCTCTCAAAAATTGGGCCATTTTGTCTTCATGCACAGCAGCTCTCATAGGAAAGAACCAGACCCCGCCTCCGACGCTGGGTCATGATCTCGCCCGAGAGGGGATAGCGCCACACGTTGAAACAATGTCAATTCAATGTAGGGAATTTCAACGTTGAAAAACCGGCATCTATATTACATTGATTCAACAACATTTTTTCAAACGTTGAAATGGTATTTGTAAAAACACATCGAATCAACATTGATTTTTCAACCTCAACCAAAAATAACCAATCTAACCAAAATCCAATGTTGAATTAATATCTTTTGCTATCTGGGAGCCTACTAGGCCAAGGAGTTGGTAGAGTATGGCCATAAAACTGCAAATCTATGCTAAAGGTCACAACTAATAAACGCCATTAATTCTGCTTACAGTAAAAGCCTGTGAATGGTGGCTCTAGTATGTTCAGGAAACTGACACTGAAAAACATTAAATATGCCGTTCATTTAGTATCTAAATTCAAATCAAATTCATCTGCTGAATGGAAAAAAACTCCATATGTCCACGTGTATGACCCATACTGCAATGGAATATGTAAATGAAGGTCAGAATAAAAACCTGCGTTTATTTGTAATGTTCCTATGAAGGGAGTTTCAGTGTTTCCTGGTTCCAGGTCAGTAATCATCAGGTTTATGATGACACATAGATACATTTTCACACACTAGACTGGTGTTAGTATGAAAGGAGAAAGAATGGTTTAAACCTATGTTGGTCACTGAGTGGTTTATTTTAGCTTGAAAAAGTAGAGGAACTGGCAACTGAAACCAAAAGTCTGGCTCTTGAAACACACATAGTTCATCAATTCTACTTCGATTTTTTTTTTAGGTTTTTCAAAAGTATCCCCCTGGGAGTCAGCTAAATACTGAAAAATAACAATGGACATTCAAACAGAAAAAGTATACCCTCTCTGGCAGAGTATTCGTCGTCCTCTATAACTCTTGCCAGTCCAAAGTCAGCGATTTTGCAGAGCAGACTCTCTGACACCAGGACATTGGCTGCTCTCAGGTCTCTGTGGATATATTTCTTATCCTCTATATACGCCATGCCCTCTGACAGATCACTGCGGTCAAACCTCCACCTTCAGCCACCTGAAGAAGACCACTCCCCCTGAAGATCCCCACAGAAAGCTGTGGCCAAACCTCCACCTACAGCCTCTATAAGGAAACCTGCACAGATGTTATCCTACTGCCATGTGGAGACCTGAGTGGAACAGCAAGGACCAGAGAAACACACGCAGATATAGTCCTTCAGTTAATATGCAAACATATTTCTGTGTTATTAAAGCTGGCTCTCTGTTTACATTCTGTTCACTTGTTCTTCTTCTCACAGGTGTTTTCAAACGTTGTGAAAGACTGAGCTCACACTCCTCAACATGAACCTGACTGACTGTGATGATGCCTTCATGAAACGAGAGAGCTCCACTGTACGTACAGTATAGCAGTATGAGATTTCTTAACAACACTCTGAGTGTATTGGGATTTTTAATGGAAGTTCGGTGATGAATTATATTTGAATGCAACACCTTACACTTCCAGATCTACCAGGAGCTGCTTCAGGGCCCTGAGGACAACTCCTTTTACAACAGCTCTGTTCCAGAGATGCTTCCTCCTCCTCCACATCCTCCACCTTCACCACCCCTCCTGCTCATCGCCAGAACTAAGAGTGCCCCACCCCATCTCAGCAACCACCACCAGCTTCTCCTGCAGCCACCGCCTAAGAGGAAGAGACGTAAAGAAAAAAGGAAAGGTAAAGGCGAGGCAGCGGAAGACGGTGCCCCTCAACACAAAATCCCCCACATGGCGGTGGATCTGCAAGAAACGCCAGATGAGAAGCAAGGGGCCGAGTCATCCTCAGAAAAAGGGTCTTTAATGGACACCCAACAGAATGAACGAGAGAAAACAGACATCGAGGGGAACGGAGTGAGCCAAGACAACACACTTGAAATAACACCCACTACTGATGACAACGCAAAAACCAACACAAATGGTGGTGAAGAAAGCAGAACAAAAGATGGAGGAAGTGAAAAATTAAGCGAGAAATCGTCCAAGACTGAGCAGAAGAAGAACGCCGACTCAGGATCGCACCATGCCGGGTTCCACGCCTTTATGACGGGATACATTTTTGCCCATTCATGTACCCTGAACAAGAAGAAAGGAGTGGAAGCTGTAGGGAAGGAGGAGGAAGAGGAGTCCTGGGTTCCTTCGTGTCTCAATAAGGTCTACCTCAGCGGTAAATCTGCTCCTCTCAACGTAGTTAAAAGCACCTTCTCCAAATCATCCAAGGCCCATGTGGCGAAGATGGAGATAGTTTGGGGAAAGAAAGTGTAGTGTCCACACTTGAACACAGTATTTAAGTGTTTATATTAGGGCTGCAACTAATTATTATTTTAATTAGTAATCTGCAGATTACTTTTACGATAAACTGTTTGTTCAATAAATTGTCCAAAAATAATAAAAAGGAACAACCTCAAAAGACTCAAAGTCCAAGTGATTCAATGTTTTGTTGAGTCCAAACCTATGGTCCAAACCCAAAGATGTTGACTTTAATATAATATTTAACAGAGAAAAGCCAAGATCTAAAAACTGCATTTTCTGGCATTTTTTCCATGGATAATTACTTAAAGGATACATCAATAATCAAAGAAGTTGGTATTTTTTTCTCTGGATGCACCTATTGATTGGTCAATTACTAGTTACAACTCCAATGTACATGTGCAGGTTCAATATCAATAATTGTTTAGCCTGCCAACAGTTTGGCTCAACTATTTGATGGACAGTGCTGAACCCCAGAGGGATGGGTAGATCCCCTTCCTCTGTCACTATGAGGTTGACCATTTCTGTTTTTAGTGACACATTTTGACAATTATTGAGTAGATTGGCTTGGAATTGGGTCCATGCCCCCCCCCCCCCCCCCCCCTCAGGATGGATGGATTTAAAAAAGTAATCCCTAACTAGGGAACCAGGATTTTGTGTTGATTTTTATTTGCCATGTTTTAAGAATGATGGAATAGGGGGTCAGTTTGCTTGTGGAACAACCTTTCAGTCTGGCAGTGTTGAAATGTAAGTCTGTTTCTCATGCTCTATACTGTTTTTATTTCTTTGTAAGACTTTTGTACATTTTTACCTACTATTAATAGTATTAAAGACGGTAATAAAGTGCAATTCAGTGGCAGCTGTTTTGATCAAGCCAGGTATTGTTTCTTAAGTTTCTCTGGAAAGAGCCAGATTCTTGATTTGCAGTCATTCTTCATTTTAGATGTTTGTATAATTACCTTTTACAGGAGTTACCTTTTGAAAAAAGAAATGTATGCTCTTTAAAAATGATCATTGTCTTTATTTCATTATTTACTTATACTGGTTTTATCTTGAAGGATGATTAAAACAAAATGCCATAATTTAATCCCTTGCTATAACCAGCACATCATTTTTGAATCGACTGTCCATGGAAGTAATAGTTAATATATCAGCAGTGTGGCACCAATTGTACCACACTCACAAGTTGACATCCCATTTTAAATACGTTTTTAAAACGTTTTTGTTTGTAGATACATTCATTTTTATTGTGAACTACAAGATTGATAATCATTTTATTTTTTAAATGTTTGCAAACTGACTACAGTGAAAGTTGGTGTATAGCTCCTTCACAGGATAAACCATTTGGTCTTTAGTAACTCAGCCTGTCCTCTGGCGCCACCCTCTGGACAAACATTTTCTTGTTTCTGTTTGTGTGATGGAGAAGGAATTACATTTGTTTATTGTTACAAATACTTTCAGTTGAAACAGATTCCTGGTGACAACATTGTTTGGAAGTAGTTCGGCTTGAACACATCACTGAGGGTAAAGTATGTCACAGAACACAGGATTATTTAATAGAGGTGTTTTCATTGAATTCAATATCAAAGCAATCACGTGTATATAATGGGGTGCTAGGTGTTGACCGCTGTGGATCACACTGGTTGTGTTGTTCTTGTTGTCCCCCTGTCCCACTTCAGGAAGGCCATACACCCAGGAAGAGCCCTGCCCTGTGATATCAAAAAAAGGCAATGAACAGAGATTAAATTAGTGTAAATCTTCACATGAAACTTTTGTCAAAAAAACAATCATGAAAGAGACAAACTCTGTCTTTAATGTTCTACTTAACAAAACACAGGTCCTTGTGTCCAGTTGCCACAGTATGGTTCACTCAGAGGAACATATAAACAAAGTCTAGTTTATATTTTACATGATGATTGCAATGAAATCACAGCACGTAAGCATTTATATATTTATAGTTAAACACGTTTTATATCAGACACTGGAAGCATTCAGATCTGTAAATTCATATGAAGACATGGACTTCATCTCAGGCTGATTGTACTTTACATTTGAGATCAGATGTTTCATTAGCTCAACTTGCTGTATTTGAGTAATGATCAGACCAACAACAACATCAACAGGTACGTAGGCCAACCACTAATAGTTAAATAACAAGTGCTTTCATAATTTCTTTCCATAGAGGTTTCGTCTTTAGGTTCAAGATAACGATAAACCATGTATTGATATTTGTCTCTGCTGCACATTGTGATTTATCTCTAAGCTAGCAAACTGAAAGCTGCGTGTTATACATTTCCAGTTTAATACCAGTTATATATCTACAGATTCAATATTTATGTTTACAAAATGGACGTAGAGGATTCCATGGTTGCTATGGTTTGACGCAGGACTAGCGTCAATATCGGATCAATATTTAAACCATAACAACCTGAAAACTACCTGAAGACGGTCACGAAAATATTTTCTCCGCTTTCACTCGACGATTCTGCCAAATTATCGCTTCTTCTCAAGTCTTTTTACATCCCGACAAGAGTCAGAGAACCCCTGAGAGTTATTACAGCGAGAAAACACACTTTAATTATGGAAAATGTAAGATTTCATAACGTTGAAAGTCCCCGTTGTTTCCAATGTGCTTTGCCGTCGACATTTTCAGAAACCTCACAGTTTACTGATGTTTATCAAATCATTTAGTCTCCTGTAACGATAAGTAGGCCTACCATTAAACAGTGTAACTATCAGATTAAGGTCAAGTATACTGTGACGACTCAATTAATACATCTTTGCATTAAAAACTACCAAAAATACACATGCATTCATCAAAACTAGGCTATATGACAATATTAACAAATAAATGTTGTATCTAATACAAATCATTTATATTAACTTTTTAGGCTATATCACCCAGCTTCAAGCTGAAATACATTCATATTGTAACTTTGAATCAAGCTAATTAAAGTCACTCACTTTAACTTAGCATTATTTCCATCATATACATGTGCAATATTATATGTTCAAACAATAAACAGACATATGCTTATTATATAACATTGTAATCACGTCACATATGTGTCACTAAAGCACAATATTAACTGACATGAGGGCCTAAAGGTGGCTCTTGTTTTGTTACCGGACCTGTCTCGTCTTGAGGAGGTTTTCAGACTTTGATTATGTTTCATGTTTCTTCATTTATGATTTTTATCCAACAACCACATCCATCTTTGGCAAGTTAATCTTCCAGCACATAAAACTATAACACATTTGATTTGTATACTACGACATGACAACATACTTGAAAAAGGTCCATCCTGCATGTACTTGTAGAGCCTCATCCTAACATGAGTGTGTGTTGTTGCAGGGTCGAGTGCCCGTCCTCCCGCAGGACAACCAGACAGGAAGGAGAGTCTCTGCCCGCCAGAGGAGGCCTGCAGTCTGCAGACAGTGTTCCTGCTGCAGGGACGACCAGGTGAGACATCTGATCCTCAACTCTGTTCCTTGAAATTGTACACAGTTTAATCCACAAGATTGTTTGACAGGTTTACAAAAAGGTAAACACATAGTGGAGTATATTGTCAATACTAAATAGTTTGAGAAGGTCCATTGTACAGGACTAATGCCCCAAATACTCACATTTCAAGTAATCCTCTGCATCTGATGTAGATGTTTCCTCTTGTAAAATGATAAAAGTATGTTGTTAAGTAAGAAGTTTACTAGAGTCTGACATCCTCTCGTGTTTTGCTGACCTTCTCCAGGTGCCACATACAAAGCGCCGGCGCCCTGCTGCTTCTGCAGACCTTCCCCAGAAAAGGAAGCAGACCTCCGCGGCTCTTCCTCCTAAACCTGCTGACCTGCCACCTGTCTCTAATGTGGCCTCCAGCCCCCGGACCTCCAATGCTCCCCTGCACCTCGAAGACCCTATTAGGATCCACAACCGCTCAGTCGAGGAGTACCAGCTCATCTACCATGAAGTTGTGGATAACATGCTGAGGTACGTTGCGTCACAAATGAGTCAGTTCATTTACAGAGTTTCCACTCTCTTAGAAATCTATCTCTCTATTTTCCTTCATCATAAAGATGTATTTTTGTGTTTCTCCTCTCAGGTTCCCGGACGGTCGCCTGCGTCCATATAGTTTGGGTCTGGGTCGTCGTATCAAGCAGAAGCTGTGGGAGCGACTGGACCGTCCGATGTTCACAGAGACAGTGGATGAAGACGGTCTGGTCCATGTGGACGTGTCCTACGGTGCTGGAGTCCAGCCTCCGCTCTACAACGTGGATGTTTCTGGTGAACCAGAGCCCGAATATCCACCAGCAAAAAGGGCAAAGCACTAAGACACACTCTCATAAGCTGACATGTCTAATAATACTGTGCTTTAAGTTTAGTTTAGTTTTTTTTAAAGTATGGCAGATAAGTTTAAGTTTATTAAGTGTAGAGATACGTTTTTAGTGCCAAGCATAAGTATTATGTGCTAAGTCTTTAGTTTTAAGTATTTAGTAATAAGTATAAGTCTAAAGTGTTAAGAGTAAGTGTTTAGTTTAAGTTTTTAGTTATAGTCATTTGTTTGAAGTATTTCATATTAAGTGTTACGTTTTTAGTGCCAAGCACAAGTATTAAGTGTCAAGTCTTTAATTTTAAGTATTTAGTAATAAGTATAAAGTGTTAAGAGTAAGTGTTTAGTTTAAGTTTTCTGTTTAAGTACTAAGTTGAAGTATTAAGTATTAAGTATTTAGTGTTAAGAGTAAGTATTTAGTAGTAAGTATAAGTATTTAGTGTTTAGTTAAGTATTTAGTAATAAGTTTAAGTATTTAGTATTAAGAATAAGTATTTAGTGTTAAGAGTTAGTATTTAGTTGAGTTAAGTTTACTTTCATTGATCTTAATGTATCTCACCACTGATGAATTGTCTTCCTCTGAATCAGTTCCTGCTCCTCTGTTAACAGTCTTCTTACTCCAGCTTCAGCCTCAACAGCAACAGTTATCACCTGCCAGAACACCTGCTCCACCCTCCAGCCTCCACCTGTTACTTCTACCAGACAAAACATCAGCCTTGAGCTGCAGCCTGTGAGATGACAGACTCCTCTCCACCTGCAGCCTCTGTCTCTCTGTTGCCTACATCCTCTACCAGCAGCTTCAGCATCAAACTGCTGCCTCACTCTTCACCTGCAGCCTCTGTCAGCAACCTGCAGCCATCTCCTCCAACTGCACATTCTGTTGAATGGCTGAACCTCCATCTACAGCCTTTGCCAGTGCCTATACCTCTCGAAGTGAACTGCTATCCGAGCCTCCACCCACAGCCTCTGTCAGCAACCTGCAGCTTCCGCCTCCACCTGCAGATTCCTACAGCCATCTGAAGACGACCACTGGGGGAGTGGTCGTCTTCAGATGAAGATCCCCACAGAAAGCTGTGGCCAAACCTCCACCTACAGCCTCTATAAGGAAACCTGCACAGATGTTATCCTACTGCCATGTGGATACCTGAGTGGAACAGCAAGGACCAGAGAAACACACGTAGATATAGTCCTTCAGTTAATATGCAAACATATTTCTGTGTTATTAAAGCTGGCTCTCTGTTTACATTCAGTTCACTTGTTCTTCTTCTCACAGGTGTTTTCAAACGTTGTGAAAGACTGAGCTCACACTCCTCAACATGAACTTGACTGACTGTGATGATGCCTTCATGAAACGAGAGAGCTCCACTGTACGTACAGTATAGCAGTATGAGATTTCTTAACAACACTCTGAGTGTATTGGGATTTTTAATGGAAGTTCGGTGATGAATTATATTTGAATGCAACACCTTACACTTCCAGATCTACCAGGAGCTGCTTCAGGGCCCTGAGGACAACTCCTTTTACAACAGCTCTGTTCCAGAGATGCTTCCTCCTCCTCCACATCCTCCACCTTCACCACCCCTCCTGCTCATCGCCAGAACTAAGAGTGCCCCACCCCATCTCAGCAACCACCACCAGGTTCTCCTGCAGCCACCGCCCCCATATGTAGATTCTGACAGACACTGCTGACAGCCAAACCTCCTCCTACAGCTTCTGCCAGTGCACCTGCGTCTACACCTCTTGAAGCCAACTGCGGCTGAACCTCCACCCACAGCCTCTGTCA